TATGTGTTCTAGTGATAATAAAAGGCCCTTTGCTTTCCCCTTTATGTTACAATTTTTTAAAGTGTTGCTGTAGTTTGCAATAACTGTAGTATCCACACTGGAAGGGGCTCTCCATCTCTTCTAGTTCTATTTCATATCTTCAGGCACATTCATTTTATAGATGAGAAAACTAAGGTACATAAAAGGGCAGAGGGTTGCCCGGTATCATATAGTGAATCAGCAGGCCAGAATCCTAGCTATATACTATATGATCATGATTAAGTCACATATAAGACTCCTGCCTCCAGGCTCTTTTTAATCCACTAGGTGACCTTTTACCCCTGACCTCTGTGCCATTCTAATTTTGGAAAATCTATGATGATGATAACTACTATATCATGAGCTGAGTGGTCAATGAAACCAGGTAGCATGGCTGTTAGGTTACTCTCTGTAGATCCAAGAGAAGAGAAACTAAGCAATGGTCAGATGGGACTCTTCTGGTGGCAGACCCTGACTTCCACACACAACCCACAAACATTCATATTCTCTCTCTTTACTTAGACACACATAAACAAATACACATCCTAAGAAGCTCTTGTTTTCTTCTCCTCTCCATCAAGCATTGCTCTCCATAAAAGTCTGAGAAATACATCTATTGTGAGGTAATGATAAACATGGCTCAATGTAAGATTCCTCTCAGGGGTTCTGGAATTTTAGCAGGGATCAAAGCCACAGCAATAAGCCCACCAGTTGGATCATATACATTTTTACTGAATCCCCAAACTGGACTAGTAAAGAGGCACTGTGATAACTCCTATTATATGTGAGGACACTGGGATTATTCCAATTATTCCTTAACACATCTGTCACACTTCATTGATGGCCTGTATCTCAAGCCTAGAGTTCAATATAGGATCTCATTCAGTATTCACACTGAGAGGAGATGGGAGGGGGCTTCGCTTGAACTTTTGTAAACCCTAAAGAAGGCTGGATCAGATTTTATGTTGGTGGTCAAGAACGATATTGGCCCTGAAAACCACTGAGGATGTGAACATGCCCAGCTTAATCTGAAGCTTGGCAAGAACTGGGCTGTGAAGCCTCCACTCATTTTATGCTCCCACGAAGATGAGAATGAGGGTGAACAGCTGGGTTTTGTGTAGCTTTCTCCTGACAAACTCAGGTTTTTTGATGAGATGTTGTAATGGGCAGCCAGTGTCCATCTGTGCTTGCTAGCACAGACCCTTTGATATTTTGGTGGTCCCAGGTCAAATTATGCTAAAGGCCAAAGCAGGACACATTTATAACCCCTGTGCAAAGATTTTTAAAAATATATGAAAATCAAAGTAGCATTAAAAAGTCACTGGGCATGATACCAACTCGACTTCAATAAAGACAGCCAATAAAAAGAGCTAATTAAAAGAACTCTGATGGCATTCATCTGAAATTTTAGATTGTTTTATGTTTTAACAAATTAACAATGGTGATAAGAGGACATTAGCAGCTTTTCTTGGGTCTCTTTGTTAACAATAACTTGAGCCTGCAGCCACAACAGGGGCTGTGGCCAAGTTTTAGCTGGCAGGCCAGCAAGGCAGTATTTTACACAATGGATGACATTTCTGAAAGCAGAGACAGAGACAAACCCAGAGTCACACATGTATTCCAACAAACAAGTTTCTGCCATTTTTAATTGTATTTAGAGCAACAAAAGATTCCAAGATTACAAAAAGAGAATAGAACACTAGCGCTTGGGGCTGGTTCTGCTGCCCAGTGGAGGCCAAGTATCGTTGTGAGAACTGAAGCCCCGTCGAAAGACGTTTCAAGCAAAATGAATGTTTCTTAAAAAAAAAAAAACAACTTTATATGATGTTTTCTTTAAAATTTTTCCCTCAGCATAAAGTAAATTCTTACATCTGGTTACATAGTCTGCTCTCTTCTGCTGCTAAATTAATCTCGAGGACAGCCCAAGAAAGTCATGTCTGAGGCACTCCCTAATCAATACTCCAGTCTAGGGAAAAGCAGAAAGGTGTCAATGAGTGGTGGGAGAAAGTATTTTTGTAGCTTGGGTCATCCCAATGGTGGGTACTCTCAGCACCTGAGTGACTTATGGGATTGAACAACCCCACAGGCACATCACTGTAGGACAACACCAAGGGCTAAAGCTGGGAGAGACTGCAGGCTTGGTTTATCTACTGTGCAAGGAACAGAGTTCCAAAATGTGAAGCATTAGCCCAGGAGGGCACCAGCAGAGAAGCAGTATCGTTCCAGAATTCCCTTTCCTTTGGGATTGGGTGTGAGTTCCAGTATTGGTGGCCAATGAAACCTGTAGCTATGTGACAGCCTTTTAAAGTAATGCATGTGCAAACTGTTTTAAACCACAAGGGCTACTCAGACCATAGCTTCTCATTTAATTCCATAAAAAGCTAAGAGAAAAGTGGGATAAAGAAAGGAACCAACACTCTTGCTCAACTGAATTGAGGTTGGAAACCAATCAATGTGTGTCATTTATTTTATGGCCAAATCTAATGGGGAAAAATCAAAGATGAGTCAAAGGCTACTTTTCCCTTTAAAACACTGCTGCTGCTGCTGCTGCTGCTAAGTTGCTTCAGTCGTGTCCAACTCTGTGCGATCCCATAGACGGCAGCCCACCAGGCTCCTCTGTTCCTGGGATTCTCCAGGCAAGAATACTGGAGTGGGCTGCCATTTCCTTCTCCATTTAAAATGCTACCTGTTAAATTAAAATATTTACCACTTATTTTTGGAATGGGAACATTCTGAATGGTTTGTTACCTCAGCTGAAGTCTTTTTAGAGGAGTGACTAATTGTGGATTTTTCTGCCTTCACCTAGAAAAGGTTAAGGATTGGGAGGCTCTGGGCAACAGACCCCAGTGTCAATCTCTTAATTAAAGAAAAACATCCCTACCTGTGGGCAGAGATGGACCTGTATCTACAGATACACTACTTCTAGTACACTGATAATTTTTTTTAACAAATAGAAACACATTTTCATTGTCAAAATCTTTACAGAACATATCCAAAATCAAAATTAGAGCACATAGACACCCAGTAGCAAGAGCACCTCAATCGCAGGTGAGTGAATTGTTTGAAATGGAGCACTTGCTCCAGGTTCCCAAGTGCAGGAAACTGCCCTTTTCTCACTGGGATGATGAAGAACAAAGAATACCGTTTCTTCTTCCAGCTGCACAGGTCCCATTAGGGGGCCACTGGCTAATCGTTTGGGTGGGCCTTTGGCCCCAAGTATGGGCCTTCCATATGGTAAATCCCAGTCCGTTTCAATGGAACTTCACCACCCTTTACACATTCATCTGTCTTGGGCTAGTAAAGTGCAACACATCATGTACCCTACCCTTTTCCCTTCTCTGCTCCTTTGCAAGGCCTTTGAGTCAGGCCTCAATAGGAACAGAGATCCCTTGGTTATCTGATCAACTCAGGTGTCTTTTCCGTTCTGAGAGAGCTTCTAAAATGTAGCTGTGGCCTCTCTTACAAGTACATGGTATCAGCTATGACCTGGAACCAAATATAAAGGTGCAGAGAGACGTAAAGCTATTAGAACACATTATATATATATATATATATATATATATATATATATATATATATATATATATATATATATATATATAAATTCAATTTTGAAACATGGATACAAATACTCATTTACAATATATTTCAACCTTCTGCCTTAAAATGCAGAGAAATTTTTTGTGCCATTCAAAGTGGGCAGAAATGAGGATTTCCGCCTGCTGTCCCTCTAGTGCAAAATCTAATCCTTTAAACGTTCCCTTCTCAGCAAGGGCTTCATATCTTCAGATAAGCTAACATCAGAACTAGCAAACATAGTGGCCAAGACAGCTCCATTTCCAACCATTCAATGACGGAGCTTTAAGAATTTGCTCAGCAACTACTACATAAAAGGAAGGCTAGTTCTGTTTATAAAAATCACTTACTGAAAGACCCAGAATCCCATTATTTTTCAAAATTATCTTCTACTGTTCTAAACATGTATATTGTGGAGAGGAAAACCCCACAAAACTCTTATAAGTCAGTCACCAGCAAAGTCCTTTAGTCTGTTTTTGGATAGGTTACCAAAGAGGCACTAATGTTTGCTCCCTCCCTGCCCTTAAAATTTTTGGTAAATTAGCAGATACAATGTAATCTTTGGTTACATAATGTGATGCACTGTCTTTTTTTTTTTTTGGTCTCTTTATTTTTTTTTAAACTGCTTTCACAGATTTTCAAAGAGATTAGTGGTGACAACAGACCCGCCTATAAAAGGCAGCAAGGGTAGAAACTTCCTTTTATAAGATATTGCATATGATAAATGGCTTATTTTGACTTTAAGTTTTGGATTGGATCTTGTGTTTTAGCATTCCTGATTCTCATGACCCCCTACATATAGTTGAGCATGAAGGTCACACTCTTGGGCCCAGTGTCCTCTCACCTGGGCAACTGGCATAAAATAACTAATATTCAACCTCTTGTCTTCCCAGGGCCATGTAGGAGCCATGTAGGGATAGTTACTAAGCTGTCTGAAGAGAGTCTCATGAAGTGCAACCCTAGCACAAGACTGAGAGGGAGCAGAGGGAGTGGCTTGTACTTTTGAGTCATGCCCAGGATCAAGAAAGAAAATAGGACAAGGCCATGTCTGTGCTGTGCCTAATGAAACAAACACTCAGAAGCTACTTGATGCTTAACGTAAGATCATTTGTGTAGTATCAATATCATGTGGATGGTGGACCTATTTTCTCTTGAAGTACAAATAGAATATTTCTTGCTATATATGCATATATGTATATAGAAGTAGAGTATGAACAGAGAGGGATTCTAGCATCAGCGCATTATTTCTCAACCTGGAAAATCACTTCAGCAACTACCCAAAGGACAGAGTGAAACTCCTTCCCCCCACCTTTTTTACTGCCAGTTAACATATATAAAAATATATGTATTACTGATTCTTTTTTTCAAAGATATATGACAGAATCCTTCAAAAAACTCCTTTCTTGTTAAAAAAATAATGAACTCTCCAAGAACAAAGATACTGTCTGTGGCATAGAAAAGCTATGGAACAAAGTACCCAACCCCCATTTCAACTCAGAGGCCAGGCCTGGGCAAGCTGCCCAATGAGCAAGAGCTGAAACTGCCACACGACTCTTTTCCTTGACCACAGAATTTATGAACCTGGCAGCTGTCTGCTGCCCAGCACAGATGGGACTTTCTCCCTGGTGCTCCTTCTTTTTCTCTTCCTCACTCTCCATCCCCATTGAGCACTGCAAACCTTTTTGGGGATAGTCTCCATGGCTTGTCTGGTGAGTGACCCTCATCTTTAAGCTCACCAGGTGAATGGGTGTGGGTGGCCAATCCTTCAAAGGTGAGCACAGTGTACCAACCATATCAACTCTGCTTGTAGAGCAGAGTGCATGCAAAATGAGACTTCTTTCAATTATGCTGGCTGGAACAACAGTGGCCAAAAGAAAAAAAAATCCCCCTTTCATCTGTGGGAGACAAAGCTAAGCTAAAAATCTCTTTTGCTCACTGAAACCCCAGTGCAAAAACAGTACACCTAAATCTTTGTTTAGGCCATTTTCTCCTAGTCTTGCTGTTTGGGAGTTTAGAGTAATCTAGTTGTTTCTGTTTTTAATTACACTGCCATTTCTGATTTTTGGCTTTCACAAGTGAAAAACATATACTCATAAAGACAAGAGTCACTATTGGGAAATCTATAAAGATGAAAACCTTGATAGCCAGAGAAATGGAAAGGAGAGCATCTAGTATTTACAAGGAGAGGTATTAGAATGATATACCCAAATCCATGTACCACAAAAGATGAGGATCATTTCAAAACAGATGTAAAGGAACTATTAAAAAGTAACCTAGTTTAAATGAATAGAGTGGTGGATTTTTTTTCTCTTTAAAACAGCTAAAAGTGATCCTGTAAGCCTATATAAGCCAAGTGGTGTCATAACAAAGAAAAACAGAATTGTTCTATCCTACCTTATAAAGAGAACCTGTCAGCTTTAGTTTTGTCCAGCAGACTTGGATTGGTATAACAGACATCTTAAGTTCCCCTCTCCCTTGTTATTTAAAGAAGCTGTTTTGCAGGTTCATTTGGCTATTAATATCAGCAGAAATCAGGGGAGGAAACCCATGTAGATCATATCATGTCACTCAGAAACTATCTTCTCAACAACAAGTAGAGTGAACTAGCTGAAATGGGCAGCTTGGTGACTGGCCTCTAATTTGTTGTTTAGCAGATGAATTTAAGAGCTATGTGAAGAGGCAGTGGCCAAGATGAGAAAGTAGGTAGGCATTCCCCAGTACTCGTGACTGGGGGACAAAGTCAACAGAACAAAGGAGTGCCAAAGGACTATACAAAACCAGTGTCCCAGGAGTACACCAAGTTCATAGGTGGCAGCCCATCAGAGTCACACCAACCAGACCTTTCCAAAGGAGGCCATGGTTTGGTAGTTTCAATATTTCAGCTTCCTCTGGCCAAGAGGCAGCAACAAAGGTGGCTGAGTGAGTATGGCCAACATTAGAGCCCAGAATCAGCAGCAGAGAAGGATGGTGAATAAACTCACCAGATGGTGCCCATCTGGCTTTAGACTTTCCTTCTGAAAACTTTTAATTTATTAGTTAGTATTCTCTTGATTTCTTCTCTCTTCTTCCCCTGACTTCTGCAGGTGGATATGTTGGGTGGAAAGGAGAGCATTTACAGGATTTCCAGTTCTAGTGCCTTCATTTTTCTCACCTTGGTAACAGAACTTTCTCTTCAACACAGATCTGGGTAGCTCCTTTAGCTGCTCTGAAGGAGGAAGTGGGCATTCTTCACTTGGTGGGAAGGTGTCATCTCTGGGGGACAAGGGCAAGACGCCCAGCTTGTCCAATCCCATTGATGCCTTCTTTCCAGTTTGTTTAAGGTCTCCAGAGTTCTGAGAGTTCAGTTGATGAGAGACATATGGTAAGAAGTCTTTGAGCCTACTGGCATCTAGAGATATAAATCAAGACTGCTGACTTGCTAGCCTTCTTGGGGATGGGAGTTCTTAGCAGAGAGTCTGAACGTGCCCAAGGAGTGGACAAGTTTCACCACTGTGGCTGTAATGAAGTCTGGTGAAGCTCAGGCCCACAAAACACAGAAGGGAGGATGGACGATGCTTGCAGCTGCATGGAGTCAGGCAGAAAACATTCGGGTCTCTTAAAGGTAGAGGCAAAGAAGGATCAAATCTTCAGTGTCCTAAGCAGGAGAACAGTCAAGCCACCACTTCCTTTTCCTTTGACTCTAGCCCCAGGCTCCTCCCTGGGCCACAAATGGGAAAGCAGACCTGGATCAGAATGGGGCCTTACAAAAGGTCAGATCTCCCTCTCCCTCGTGCTGGTCTGATTCTTCAGTGGAAGTGGCCAAGTTTTGGCTAAAGAGAACATTCAGTTCAAAGCTCTTAGAAAAGATATTGAAAGTCAATTTGAGGGTGGAGGCAGAGGATGTGAGAGAAAAGGGACTGGTGTGGGGAGGCATTCTCAACAGATAGGTTTTCAAACATGAAGCACATTTTTCAGTACCATGAATTGTGCTGCAGTTGAACAGCCTAGCTCTCAGGGGCCAAGGCTGTAGGCAGGTACTGGTAATCCATCTGTCCTATCGTAAATCTGCCCCCCATCTACCTCAGTTCTGGGGTCACCCTGCCCTCTAATGGCAATAGCCGTTGGCAGAAAATAAAGTCTCCCAGGGAGACAGGGTTTGGGGAAAAAAAGCAGTGACTCCCCATGGGCTTGCAATTTTCACCTTATTCTAGTTACTGTTGGCCTCTTTGGTAATTTGTTTGTTTTAATATTTTTAAGAGGGAAAAACCCTAGTGTGTTTTTTGTTTGTTTGTTTGTCTTTTGTTTTCCCAGATACTCTTAGCTCTCTAAACTTCACGTGGCATTAGGTGAGTAAACGTTTGTGTAGCTGGCACACAGCACAGTGCTATAAACAAGCACAACTTGACACTGTGCCACATGAGGATCATCACAGATTTAAAGAAATACAACAGCATTCAAAACACAGATAAGAGCCACAGCAGGGAGTACAGTCTGAAAGTGCCATGGGAGAGTCAGATAGGGAGAGATAGAAAAGAAAGGAGGAAAAGAGAGGAAAAAAAAAAGCCCAGCAAATAGAATTCAAGAACATCTTCATGACAGACTGTACATAAATAGAGGAAATTCCCCAAGGCACTGCAGAGAAGTAGTGCAGAGTTAAAACAGGCAGAAGATATCTGAAAAAGAAAGTGAGGTGGGGTAAGAAAATGGGGGCTTCCAAAGCTTCACTGAGTGTGAAAATAGATAGGCTTGACTTTCCCGGAAAGGATCTTGGGCACTTGCACAGAGATGATCTCTGCCATCATTTCTGGAAAGTCCACGCTCACCATGTGAGACTTGATTAGCAGGTCAAAAGTGAACTGATGCAGCTCTCGTGCAATCTGCAGGGAGACAATAAGAGAGGGAGAAAACGGTTGATAAGGAGTTGGCTTCTTGTCAGGGTCTCCCCCACAGTCTTTGATTTCCTCCTCCTTCCTTTCATGTCCTTGGGCCTCTGTGAGTGTGTGTATGTGTTTGTGTGCATGAATGCATACACACACATGTGCATTAAATTGTCTCCAGGGAGTCACTGAGAGCTCCCAAGAGATCTCTTACACCACTGCAAGCTCTCTGACTCAGGACTGGGTGTTCCTTTTCCCCAGCACACACACACACACACACACACACTCTCTCTCTCTCTCTCTCTCTCTCTCTCTCTCACACACACACACACACACACACACACACACACACACAAACGTACATGCACATGACTCAAGGAAGAGGGGGAAAACATCCAGGTCTGTTTTGTCTGCCTAAAGAACTTATCTACTCTAAGCCCCTTCTCTGAGTCCCAGTTGCTCTGTTCTCAACTCCTCCACCTCTTTCACAACAACCAGCTGGGACACTGTGACCTGTGTTCCTTTCTTCTTCATTGGATTTTCTTCCTGGACCACACTCAAAGCCAGAGGGGAATGGAAGCACCTCCCAACAGGTGGTGCCAGACCCTAGAAGAGCATATTATCACTTGGCTCTATCAGGCTGCTCTCCCTGACAAAGCACCCTCCATTGTTTGCTTACAGGCTGCACAGAGTCCAGGAGCTTGGTGAGCTGGTAGAAGCGCCTTGAGCAGGATGTGGGATTTTTTCTCTTGCATGCAATGATACGATCAAGTTCCTTGATGTAGTTCATTCGAAGTTCATCAAAGAATTTTTGATTTTTCAGCCCATCCACTGGAACTGATGTGGGATGAAGACAGAATGGGGAGGGGAAGCATGCCCACGAAGGAGCATTAGACAAAGCACCAAGTTTTCTGACCACAAACTTGACCCCCACCCCCACAAGGAGGGAGCCATCGACTTGGCTTCCTGTCACTTCAGGTCTATATGCCTGGGGCCTTCAGGAAGTCTGCCAGGAAGGTCTTAGGGAGAAGGCTAGCTGGACCCAGTCTGTAGGGTATCAAGTAAATAAAATTTACTGAGCCTTTCCTTTCTCTAGTCTTCATTTCTATACATTTCATGGTTTTAAATTATCCACAGTCCAGCTCTGAATTAGACAATTAAAATATGTGGCCTTGAATATCAAATTTTATCTCCTTTCTCCCCCATAGGGGCTAAGACAGCACTCTGCTTCGAAGAGATATTAAAGAAATATTCCTTGGCTGCCAAATAAGCCTTGTCTGAGTGCTTACATAGACCTTGTCTTTTTGTCAGAAGAAGAAATTCCTTCCAGGAGGCAATCCCTTCTACCCTACAAGAAATATAAGGTAGTCCTTGCCTGTTTCTATGGTAGAAGCTATGGGAAAATTCAGAGACCTGCTAAAACTAGCCAAAAAGGCCTTGTCCCAAAGAAAGATTGTGGGTAGGTAGGGATCTAATAGAGGTTTGATTGTAGCAAAGAAATTGGTCTCTAGCCATGAAATTTATCCTTGTTAGGGAAAAAGATGCTAAGGGAAAGTGGAGAAGGGAGGGTGAAAGAAGGGAAATATTCAGGAGCTGGCTTCTCCCTGATAATCCTTTAGTGAAAAAGCACCTCTCCTCTGATCCCTTATGCCCCCTAGGGCACTCTCTACCCTTCCAGGCACTTACTAATGCTAAAGAGCAGCAGTGCCTTCATGCACAGGAATTCCTGGGGGGTGATTTGGAGCCATCCAAATTCTTGGGAGAGGTGCCTCATTCGGACACACTGGCTGTACATCCGGGACTTGTGCATGCGGTACCTAGGAATGAAACACACAGAGAAAAGAGAGGGGTAAGGGAAGGATTAGAATAAACCCAGAGAGAATGTCTGTGGATTCCCTCCCCTTTCCAGTTTCTCCAAGAAGAGCTTGATGTTTCTCTTGCTGGTGCTTCAGTGACAAGGAACAGGTTGTTCTTTTTTCCCCCAAAATCATGATATCTTGATAACTACTCATCTTCCCTGGCTAGGATATGGGTTAGCA